CTTTTAAAACACCGAATGAATGAATTTGCATCGGAGCATTTTACTCAACCCAGTCTTTGAAGTGCCGACGCGGTATAGAGAGTCCAGCTTTAGTCAGATTCTCTGGAACGCTATGCAGCCTTAATCACTCTGCTGGCATCCACTCTACTGACTGAAACCTGACACACACACACATGCACACACAGAGACACACACAAAATCGGGTGGCATGTGCACAAACTCGTGGAATGAAGCACGCGCGCACACAGACGGGTGTGGAGGTTCACCGGCACACAGACCCAGACACACGAGCAGGCAAAGACAGAGGCTTGCATGTGTAAATGCAGGCTGACACACTGTCCTTCCAACAGGTATTTTGTTTACATGGATAAGAGTTGAGGGAAGTGGTTATTTGAGTCCATGTACAAAAAATAAAATACACACTTGTATTTGCGCAGCAAGGTTGTCAGAGCAGTCACAGACTACTGCCTCCACATAACAGCTCACCCACCCAGACGCTAACAACAATACAGCCTTCTGGGCATTGTATAGGAAAAAGAAACATGGTACAACAAAGCCTCTTTTATAGTGACATTAGCATTGAGACGCACACACAGATGAGGAATTTCCATGCCTCCGGACTAACAGTTTGCATCGCCTGCACTGGTGCAACTCAATTTTTACATTCACATGAAGCATTTCGTGCTCAAACAGTTCAATTTTGTTTGAAAAATATGATGGACTACGTAACTTTTAGAGTTTACGCGTTGATGCAATTCATCCAAAGGTTCACTTGATGTCTCATGCACCAAACACTTACCTATCACAATAAGTGTGTAGTTGACATTTACGCTGCCAAACCCATTGGTGGCCTTACAGATGTAAGTTCCTGCATCGTCCATCTCCACCTCCTTAATACGCAGAGCGTGCTGTGACACCCTGAACCGTGTCCAGCCCCTGTGGATGTTGCGGCCATCTTTGGTCCACATGATGAGGGGAGGGGGGTCACCCTCCACAGGGCAGGCCAGCTTAACCGTGCGACCCAGACGTGCGCTCTGCCGATGGTTCACCCGCTCTGACACCCTGGGGGGACCTCGAGGGTAGAAGAAAAATGAAAACTTTAGTAGTAGCATCAGCAGTAAATTCAGCCTGGTTATGTAAGACGTGAATAATTAGTATATTAGTATACTGGGCATGAATGAAGAGTGTGCAACTTGATCTACGAGAAAATGGATCATTCTGACCCCTAAAAGAAAAAGACAAAAAACTAGTTTTGAACAAATTTGTTTTTTGAGAAGCTCATAAGTTAGATTATAACTTAAATACAAAATACAATCTAATTATTCCAGGAAGTTCAAGAAGTAAGTTTACTCCTTGGTAAATTTACAGTCTTAAAAGCATCCATTGGAAGCAAACACAAAGCCAATTAGTAAGTTTAATATCATTTGATATGCCACAACTGACACGAAGCCAGGCATGACCTTGACCGCTCGGTAGCCGCTCTACTGTGAAATAGCACACTAGGAAAACAAAAGGGATTAAAGTAGCCTGATTGAATTGGAAAGGTGGGAGGAAATGATGGAGAGAAATTTAGGGGACAGAACAAAGAGAGGGGGGGAGAAACGGAGGAAGGAAAGAGGGAAGGTAAGAGGAGAAGCGAGGAGGAAATGAATAAGGGAATAAGGGAGTATGGAATTTAAGGGAGTAAGTCTGCGAAGAGAAAGGGAATGAAATACGAGTGAATAGGACAGGCACACAAAGAAAGACAAACAGAAACACAGAGAGGTGGAAGCAGGAGTGGCGTGGGAGGTAACTCGTTTCTGAGCATCTCTGTTTGACCTTGCATTACTCCCTTTAGGTTCTCTCTAAATATAGCAATAAAAACACACAGTAGGCCACCATGTAGCAAACAATTTCCCGGCAAACAACAAAAGGCAATTGTAAGAAAATCCACCATTAAACAACTAACTTCAGGTCACGTCCTGCAGGTTAAACATGTGAAAGAAAGGACAAACGGCGCTCCATGAAAACAGCGCGCCTGACAGACGTTTATCAAATCGATGTGGGCAGATACAGTTCAAACATTTCAGGTGTGTTTCTTTCATTGCCCCCTTTGATACTGCTTAAATGTGTGCTTGTCAAAAAATGATTGGTTGGCTGTCGGGAACCTCTTCTTATGCTGTTTTTTGGTTGGCTTGTGATTGTGTTAGAGGTCGTAGTTGATTTTTTGTGCAAGGGAGAAAAGGAGTAGCCTGGTGTGGGGGGTTGAGAGTGAAGAAGGAAAGGCAAAGAAGTGCAGACTGTTTTAAGTGCAATCAGAAAAGGTTACAGGGGTAATCATTATAGCAGCGATCCACTAAGAACAGTGAAAGATTGACTAGTTTTATCACAGCTGGCATTCCAGTTTTTCACTTCTGTGTGGCTGGTGTGAGAAACAGGAGCGACGAGAGCCACAACAGATTATTAAGTGCGGGGCAATCCCAAAATTAAATTGGGTTTTTGAACATTAAGAAAATACATCATTGTCCAGCCGTGGAGCATTGGCACGCATGACATGCATAAATCATATGACTGTATTTTTAGGCTGAGTGGCATTACACAATCTATATCTCTTTATTTTCTACTAAGTGTGCCAAGTGAAAACCATGAGATGTCACAAGCACTTTTATTAAAACACACTGATTGAAACACACCACAAAAACATAGTTTCCTTACCCTGTTTCAAAATGTACTCTCTTCCTGCATGTTGCTAAAGTCTTTCCAGCTTTCAGTGGAAAGTGCTAAGGCTAATAAACACGTCCATCTCCAGGCGGCCAACATCTGTTTACTTGTCTCTTTTCTCATTGCCCACACCTAGATGTGATTCCAAAAAAGCCAAATTCCCAATGAAGCTGTTCTTATTTATATTTATCTTTTTTTAATCTCTGGGTGCAATTAAACAGTTACTGAACTAAGATGACATTGTCACTGTTCAGTTCAGTCTGAATTCAGTCATTTTAGCAGTGTAGGGGCAGCATGGTGGTTAGCACTGTTGCCGCACAGCAAGAAGGTTCTGAGTTCAATTCCACCATTAGGCTGGGGTACGGTGTACATTTTAGGACATCGTCAGGTCTCAGGAAAAAAGTCGTCAGGTATCAGTAAAAAAGTTGTCAGGTCTCAGACAAAAAAATGTTAGGACTCAGTTCTCAGGAAAAAAGTTGTCAGGTATCAGACAAAAAAATGTCAGGTCTCAGTCTCAGACATTTTTTTGTCTGAGACCTGACAACTTTTTTCCTGATACCTGACGACTTTTTTCCTGAGACCTGATGATGTCCTAAAATGTACACCGTACTGGGGTCTTTCTGTGTGGAGTTTTCATGTTCTCCCTGTGTTTGCGTGGGTTCCCTCCAGGTACTCCGGTCCGGATGAATAAGCCGCTGCAACCTGCAGACAGAAGTGTGCCTGTGGTACAAAAGCAACACCTCGTGGGGCTAAAAATATTGCTAAATGTAGTTTACAGCACTGAGGAAGATGCATAAGTGAGCTAGGCCTGGTTTAGTCGCTGACTCTGGGGGTGGGGCTTTGTGTGTAGAGAGTGAGAGGAGATTATGGGTTATGGAATGCAACACCAGATTTGTTTAAATATATAAACAAAAAAAAGCCTTAAAAAGGCTAAGCTGGAACTAGATTCATTCCTTCACTGTGCAGCTGCAGAAGTAGGAGATGAACAAGATGAAGAAAAAAATCCTAAAGAGGTGAGAAGAGAGTTATAAAAATGGGGGAAGCGTTACAGTAGTTCCTAGCTTGTGCTAACAAAGAGGGCTGTTATTTAAACATGGAAACAGGATGTGGACACAGTGATGGATGGATGGAAGTGAAATGTGTGAAAAAGACATTAGTCATACAGGTATTCAGAGGAGCCTGCTCTCCTCCAAACTCATCATTCCTGGATAGGGGAATGTGTTCGTTCATCTGTATGGCTTTCTCATTAGGGGCCCGAGAGTTCACTCTTTCTCCTTTTCCTACCCTATACATCTATTCTTTTCTTTCCTGGTAATGTGGTTACATATTGCTGGTCTGCTTTTGTTATTTTCTTCTGATATATATCTCTCTGAACACACATAAAATCCATTTTTTCTTTTCTTAGTGTGTCTGAAATATTTTCCCATCTTTCTTTTGCTTGCACACATTTACCTCTTTTGATTGGTGGTATTACTGCCACATAATCCTAATTCTCCTTTGTATTTATTTATATCTTTTTTCTTCCTCTAAGATTGTAATCTTATTCCCCTTACCTCTAAACTACTCCACTACCAATCTTTTTTCTTATCCGTAACCCCCTCCCTTCCTCTCATTTTCCCTGACATCACTCTTTTCCTTTCTGCCACTCCACTTTGCTCACTCTTTTCCTCTTTCAGCACACTCATTCACGCCGTCCTCTTCGTTCACTGCAGACTCTTTTCTTTTTCTCCCTCTCCTGGCTTTTTCACATTTGCGCACACGCATACACATACACACACTTCCTCAATTTCGTCCCAAGGGTATCACAGGAACAGGACCTCTATCCAAACCTCTCAACTTTCGACAGTTAACCTCTTCTACATCTTCCTCCTCTACCTCTAAATTTTCTTCCTTTCCACTCTCTCTCTCCCCAGTGATGGGAACACACGAACAGCAGCCTCTTTTCCTCCTCCTCCTCCCCTGCTCCCAGGTCTTTGACCAAAGAAAAGTCTTTTTAAATCTGTCTCTTGGGGGTGAAACTAAAGCAAGTAAAAAAAAAAACGTTCCTTCTCTTTCACGAAACGCAGTTCAGGTTGTCTATGTACTTCTGCACATGAGGCTCCTATTAAGTAAATGGTAAATACGCAGCTGAAAGTAGGTTTGCAAAAATATAATATATAAAAAAATATAAAACATAAGCTTCAACAGGAAGAAAAGCATGTGAATTTAAATAAATATAAGGCATATTTGTCTTGAATTACGACACCAACGAATGCTAACTGGGGTCAGGAGTGAATAACCATCCAGTCACTCGAATAATACTGGAGGTGTGGGTTAGAGATGTGTTGATTTACAAAAAAACACAATTTTATTTCACATTGACAAGAAACATCTGCTAAATTGAACCATGGCTCATAAAAAAGAGGTCCTGGAAGACTCCGACAAGAAACATTTGCTTTGCATAAAGTAACTTTAATGGGTGGTAGATATTTATCACTTCACAGTTAGACAAACTGTCTGTGAATGCAGAATTCAGTAATGAGTCATCTGCGATGTGCACAAAGAATTCATCTTAAATGAACGCACACTTTTAATGAGATAGAAAAGCAGCTATTTTCCAATCAAAGAAACTTCACCACACACCTGATGTTTACACGGACTGATGTAAACACAAAGTGTAAAAGATTCCTGCACACTGACACCATCCTAATGAAAAATACTGAACAGGAAGCATCATAATTTGGGAATTATGATGCTTCCTGTTGCCATTGTTGCCTATAAGAAAGCTGAAAAGAATCAGCTTTATCAAGGTATTTTATAGCATTAGGTCACAGTGGTTGTCTGCCAGCTGAAGCCCAGTGTAGTTGAGTAAAGCGGTTGGATAATAAGCCTAAATATTGATGTAAATTGGAAACAGACAGACTTTACTTTTCATCAGTCAGCTCCACTGTAGACAGGCCAGTCAGAGCGGTGACTAGAAAGATGCTTGATGTGGACGAGGCTGTGTGTATGTTGAAAAGTGGCCCAGAATAGGGAACCGAATAACAGCGGAGTTCAACACAAATTGGAAAAGCACTAAAAACATAAAATACTGCGTAAGAAGCACAGATGGAGGCTGCATTGTTTTTAACACCTAGTTTAATTTTAGCGCTTTATTTGTTATAACTTTGCTCTTCTTTGCCGCTGGCTGATGGACATAAGCAAGCGCAGCACACAGACTGGTTGTTTGTGACACTGCCCCCTGGTGACAGTAAACATATAGATTATAGTCTGCAAAGTTAACCGTAGGCTGTCTGTAGGACCACCACTTAACCAATATGGAGCCTGAACTTAGGGTCACAGACTCATTTGTCATTTAGATAAAGACTGGACCACAGTTTACATCCAATCACT